ATCGTGAATTTTGTTATTTTTCTCAAAAACTTGCCCGTAAAAGTTTTACTATCATCTTTTAATAATTTTCTTGCTTCCTATTTGGATGATTTTCCAATTGTTATTGCTTTTAGATTTCGAAATAATATCGTTATGTTTATTTTTTCTTTTTCTGTATATCTATGATTTTAGTAGTTGACTCAATAATTTTTTTTTTGTGGAATCATCAATGGGTTCTTTACATCTATTTAAATTTTATTTGAATATCTTTTTTTCATAGTCGTATTCATTGATTTGGGGTTTATTGAGATTTGTTTCACTATGATTGCTACCTCGAACTTAATATTTCGTAGATTCGTTTTAATTAATTGTAATTGTAGGTTTTGTTATTGCAATGTCTACACACCAATCTAAGCGATTAAAAAATAGCACAATTGGAACATTTTTTAAGAGTGTCAATGAAGTGCCGAAGACACCTGATGTTGATAGTTCCGTTGTTGTTGACCGAGAAATAGTCGAAACTTCTGCTCATAAAGATCAATTTTTTGCTCATCAAGTTGAACAGGCTGCTGCAGTTGATTCTAACCAGGAATTAATTTTGGAACGTGATCCGGGAAAACGTATGCAAATTTGGCAGTATCGTGTTAACCAACAAGATGAAATTCGACGGTCTTACATCAAAATGGGGCCATATCAATTTTACTTATCCAAATATCCCTATTCAAATAATACCAAATATCCAAGGAGATTTCAGCACTCTTGGTTTGCCCAATTTCCAACCTGGTTAGAGTACTCACCTACAACAGATGCTGCATATTGTTTACCTTGTTATCTTTTTGCAAGTAAGCCAAATCCACGTTTTGGGGCAAATGCATTTACTGTGGCAGGATTTCGCAATTGGAAAAAGGTTAACGACAAAAAGAAGTGTGCTTTTCTAAGTCACGTGGGAGATCATTCTTCCACACATTTTGCTGCAGTAAAATCATGTGAGGATTTAATGAATCAATCTCGGCATATTGACAATGTTATGATGAACCAAAGTGCAGAACAAATACTTAAGAATCGCTTGAGGCTGAAAACATCGATTGATTGTGTCCGGTGGCTTGCATATCAATCATGCCCTTTCCGGGGACATGATGAAGGGCCAAAATCAACAAATCCGGGCAATTTTATCGAAATGGTGAAACTTTTGGCAAGGTATAATGATAAAGTATCTGAAACAGTTTTGGAGAAAGCTCCTCATAATGCTAAATACACGTCTGGCAAGATTCAGAAGGAGATATTGCATATCATTGCTACAAAAGTGCGAACCAAAATTCGTGAAGATATTGGAGATTCAAAATTTTGTATTCTTGTTGACGAAGCACGGGATGAATCAAAAAAAGAGCAAATGGCTCTTGTTTTGAGGTTTGTCAACAAAGTTGGTGTTCTTCAAGAACGTTTTTTTGAAATCGTAAGTGTGAAAGACACTGCTGCATTGACTCTTAAGTGTGAGTTATCTACTATTCTTTCTCATCATGCATTAAGTGTAGATAATCTTCGAGGTCAAGGTTATGATGGGGCAAGCAACATGCGTGGTGAATGGAATGGGTTACAAGCATTATTTTTGAAAGATTGTCCATATGCATACTATGTGCATTGTTTCGCTCATCGACTTCAATTGGCTCTAGTTACAGCATCCAGGGAAGTGATTCTTGTGCATCAATTTTTCACGAAGTTGGATTCTATTGTCAATATTGTTGGTGCTTCTACAAAGAGAAATGGTGAGTTAATTACTGCACAACAGGCTGAAATTTCTCGTCTAATATCGATTAGTGAGCTTGAGACTGGTAAAGGAGCTAACCAGATTGGTACTTTACAACGGGCAGGTAATACTCGATGGGGTTCTCACTTTTATTCAATATGTAGCTTATTAAAAATGTTTAATGCTACTGGTATTGTGCTTCAAAGTATTATAGTTGACGGTGCAAATTTTTCTCAACGTGGTGATGCTGATTCTGCTTATTCTACCATGACATCTTTTCAATTTGTCTTTATTCTGATTTTGATGAAAGAAATTATGGGAATTACTGATGTTCTTTGCCAAGCATTACAACAAAAGTCTCAAGATATCTTAAATGCTATGAATCTGGTTTTAACGACAAAGCAACTCCTGCAGAAATTGAGAGATAATGGATGGGATGCTTTTCTGAGTGATGTTACATCATTTTGTGAAAGCCAGGATATTGAGATGCCTGATATGAATGGTGCTTACAAAGTAGGTCGAGGAAAGTCGATTCATCAACCTCGTGATATTAATATTACCATTGAACATCATTTTCATTTTGATATCTTCAATACCACAATAGACACTCAGTTGAAAGAGTTGAATAGCAGATTTTGTGATCAAACAGTGGAACTCTTGACTCTTAGCCTCGCTTTAGATCCAAGTAATTCATATAAGTCGTTTAATGCTGACGATATTTGCACTCTTGTTGAAAAATATTATCCTGAGGATTTCACTGAACGAGAAAGACTTCTCTTGAAGTTTCAGTTGCAGCATTATTATCTCGACGTGGTCAAACATCCAGATTTATGTCAGGTACCAACTTTAGCAACATTGTGTGAAGGGTTAGTGCAGACGAAAAAGTCTGAAATATATTACTTGGTTGACAGATTGATTCGCCTGATCTTACTTCTTCCTGTTTCTACCGCTACTACAGAGCGAGCATTTTCTGCTATGAAGCTTACTAAAACTAAACTTCGAAACAAAATGAAGATGAGTTTCTTGGAGATTGCATGCTCCTACATATAGAGAAGGATATTGCTGATACTTTTAGCACATATTCGATTATAGAAGATTTCTATGCAATGAAAGATCGTCGAGTTCATTTTAATTAATTTTGTTTTCTAATTATTTAGAATTTTTCGTGGGACAAAATATACGATAGTTTTATTTTATTATTTATCGTTTAATGTCTAAATACTATTTTATTTATCTTGATTTGTTAGATATTTATTATTTATATATACATATACCTAAATTTTTTTTCGGGGCGCTGCCGCGAACCCTGAAAATTTATTCAGCCCCCCCTACATTTTAATCCTGGTTCCGCCCCTGTGTGGTTGACAACAATAAAACTATAACAACAATAATATTACAGTCAACCACAGTAATATTATTGTGTTTACAATAATATTACAATAATAGACAATAATATTATTACGTTACTCCGTGAATAACTCAAACAAAACAAAAAACCCAAAAAAAATAATAATATTGATGTTGTTGACAGTAATATTATTGTGTTTATAGTTATTTTACTGTCAACGACAGTAATATAATTACGTTGACTTGTCAACAAATCAAACAAAATAAAAAAAATAACAAAAAATAAAAAATAATAATATTACGTTAATTTACTGTCAACGGTAGAACAATTACATAAAGTATTGTTGACGGCAGTACAATTACGTTAATTAACTGTCATTGACAGTACAATTACGTTAGTTTACTGTCAGTGGCAGCATAATTTCGGTCAACGTTTAGCGGCGGAGGTAAAAAAAAAAAACAACAAAAAAAGTCAACGCCGGAATCCGGCGGCGGAGAAAAACATACCAGACAAAAAAAAAAAAGTCAACGCCGGAATTTGGCGGCGGAAAAAACAGACCTGAAAAAAAAAATCGAAAAGTCAACGGCGGAATCCGGCGGCAAAAAATAAGAAATTAAAAAAAAAAGTTTTTGATAAAAAAAGTCAAAATTGGATTTTTGTGGTCAAAATTAATTAAATTGGGGTTACAATTAAGAATTGGGCATAAAGGGTTGTGGGTAATTTGCCATATATATGACTGTTTCCATTATTTATAATA